AAAAAAAAAAAAAAGACCTAAAAGTAATTTCTTTTCTTATTTTTCACATTAAGAATCCCTCAAGCATATATATCGATTTCTGGTAACTCTTTAAATGACAATAATATTTTGTTCTTATCTGCAAAGTTTATATAATTGATATTTTATAATCAGGTATTTTGTAGATTTATAGAAATTAATCTAAAAGCAAATTTGTAATTTCTCATGATATCTACAAAAAATTCTTCACTTGTGACTTTTCCTATCTTCCCCAGTAGAGCAATAGTCCATTTTTTGGAAATTATATAAAATACACAAAATCCAGGCTGGAAAGGGGATTAAAATTTGATTCTATGACTCCTTAAGAAGGACGATGTCAGAGGGCTTGCTTTACCTGACTTTAGCACCTACTACCCAGTCACAGCGGTCATAACAAGAGTGGTACTGGTAGAGTGACAGATATTCAGACCACTGAAAAGAAATGACAACCTTGAGATGAAATCATCAGCATAGAGACAACTGATTTTTTATGAGGGCTCCAAAAATATCAAATGGGAAACAGATACCCTCTTCAACAAGTGGTGCTAGAAAAAAATGGATATCTACGTGCAGAAAAATGAAGTAAGACCCTTACCTCACTTGCACAAAAACTGCATTAAAAATGTGCTGAATCTAGGAGAGGTTAGAGACCCTATGAGTATTAGAGCAACGCCAAGCTAATGGAGAGGAAGCACTAAGAGGTGGAAGAAGGGACAAAGTGATGGCAGGGCCGGAGGCAAAAGGAAACAGAGGCAAGCTCTAGGAAACAAAGGCATAGATAGGGCGATTAACAGAGGTGTGCACTTATGCAAATACATTAATCCATAACAATAGTGGTATTGGCCTATGTACATATATTTATAAGGCAATACACTGACACTGCAGATGGGCCTTGGGCCTCAGCTCATACCTTCCTCCCTCAATACAAGAACACTTTGTTCTAACAAACTGGCATTCTGTGATGCTCACCTCGCCACCCACCCCCCGCCCCCTACCCCACAATCGTGGATGCATAAGCAGATGTGGTAAAGACAGAGGATGGTGCCCGGCTATTAAAAGATATAGCTTCTAGGGTCTTTAAAGCTTGAAGTTAAACAAGCGGTCATCCAACAGTGAAGCAAGAAGCCCACATGGAAGAAGCACACCAGCCGGTGCAATCGTGAGGTGTCATCAAGACTAGGCAACAGGCATCAGAAGATTGACAACAAGCAGTAAACAAACAAAAATGCATTGGTGAGTATGGAGGGATGTTGGAGTGGAGACCCAAAGCCCATCTATGAACAATGGAACATCCCCCCCACAGAGGGGTGCAGGGAGGGGGTGAGTCAATGAGGATGCACTAGTGGGTAACACAATATACCTCTGTTCCCTGGAGTTCTCCTCATCCTCTGCTATCATGACCTCAGTGCCGCCTCCCAATCTAGACTAGACGGGAGCATGTACATAGGTATAGGTAAGAGAGAAAACTAACAACACATGGAACCCAGGAACAGGAATTGGAATAGAGAAACCAAAAGGATAGGGGGAAGGAGGGCAGTTGTGAGGAGGGATGGGGGCACCTATCGCAATGAATGGCACATAACCACACACCCCCAGCCAGGGGGAAAACAACATAAACCAGAAAGGAAGGGAGACAGCAGTCTGAGTGAAATTTGAAAAAAATTAACAATCTACAATGTATCAGGGGGCCAAGAGGATTGGGGGTGGGGGGGTGGGGTAAATAAAAAAAGAGGAGCTGATCCCAAGGGCTCAATGGAAATTAAATGTCTAGAAAAGAATGATAGAATATATGTACAAATGTCAGATACAAATGATGTATGGTTTGTAACAAGAGTTGTAAAAGCCCCTAATAAAACGATTTTTTTAAATGTGCTGAAAAAACTCGGCTTATACATGAGTGTATGTGGTAATATGGGAGCCACAGACCGAGAAAGCATCTACCAATGACACATCAGACAAAGGCCTAAGTACTAGAATCTAAAATACTCTGCTAGCCTACAATAAGGGAAAAAAATAGCCTATCGAGGAGGGAGGCAAAAAACCTGAACAGAAGTTTCACAAGGGCAGAAATCAGAATGGCCAATAAACAAATGAGAAAATGTTCCCAATCATTAGCCATAAGGGAAATGCAAATTAAAAAAACTATGAGATACCACCTAACACCCTCAAAGAAAGCCCAATCCAAAAAATCTGAAAGCAACAAGTGTTCAAGGGGATGTGGTGAGATAGGCATTGTCATCCACTGCTGATGGGTCTGTAGGTATGTGCAGCCATTATGGAAACTGATTTGGTGATACTGAAAACAAATGGAAATCAAGCTACCATATGACCCAGCAATCTTCTAATTTGGCATATACCCAGAAGAGGTAAGAAACAGACCATGGCCAGACATCTGTGCTCCATGGTTCATTCATCACAGTGCAGTTCACAATCGCAAAGAGTTGGAAACAACCTAAATTTCCATCAAGGGACGAATGGATTAAAAAACTCTGGCGCATACATACAATTGCGTACTATGCATCCCAAAAGACCAATGATGAACACATGATGAACACATCATCTCATGGGAAGAGTTGAAGGAAATTATGCTAAGCGAATTAAGCCAAGCACAAAAGGACAAGTACAACAAGAGTCCACTGAGGTAAGCTTAAAAAGCACAAGGAGCATAGGGGAAAAGCCGCTGAATGTATTCTAGGGGCAAGATCCAGGCACTCCGGCAGGGGTCAGATCCAAATCAGGAACACATATGGCAGTCAACTGAAAAGGAGGGGAAAAGAAAAAAAAAGAGGACATGGGTAGTGGGGGAACAGGGCACTAAAGCACCCACAGGGAGAGTATTGTTTTTGTATCCACAAGAAAGGGAGAGAGGGACCAGACCTCAACCTGGTGAGCCAAGCCTTGAAGGCAACATACCAGCATGAAGCAGAGAACAGAAAGGTCTATGGGTCTGGCCTCAATCCCAGCTGTATCAATCCCCTCCCCAGAAAAATCCGGACGGGTCTGCCCAGACCACAAGGGACCAAACTAAGAGGGAAATGAGAGGAGGATGGGGGGCAGTGAAAGAGAGGGAGGGAGAGAGAGGAAGAAGGGGAGAGAAATACAACACCCCACCCCAATACCCGTGACGAATAACAGAAACATGGATGAAGGGAGACAGCGGACAGTGTAAAATATGAAAATAAAAATAATTTATAAATTATCAAGAGTTCACGGGGTGGGTAGGGAGGGAGAGAGTTGATACCAAGGACTCAAATAGAAAGAAAATGTTTTGGAAATGATGATCGAAACCTATGTACAAATGTGCTTGATACAACTGATGTATGGACTGATATAAGAGCTTTAAGAGCCCCAATAAAATGATTTATTAAAAAGACAGGAAAGAAAGATCAAAGTGGATGTCGATGAGACTATGAAAGTTGCTCTTAATTGTACAGTAGCTAAGGAACATGGAAGAAAGGAAGAAGTCAAAGAGCTGAACAGACCATTGTAAAAGGCAGTTTGAGTTAAAACATAAAGTATTATAATGAAATATGCAAAGACCTAGAGTTAGGAAACCAAAAAGGAAAAGCACAGTCAACATGTCTGAAACTGAAACTCAAGAAAAAATTCAAGCCTCCAGTTGCAAGACTGAAATATACAATGGGCAAAATATTGAAAGATGCCGGAAGCATCAAGAGCATGGAAAAAATACAGGAAGTATTTATACCTAAAAGAACTAGTCAATATTCAACCATTTCAGGAAGTAGCATATGAGCAAGAAGTTCAAGCTGCACTGAAAAAGCTTTAGCAAAAACAAGGCTCCAGGAATTGATGGAATACCATTTGAAATGTTTCAACAGTCTGATCAAGCAATGGAAACACTCTTCTGTGCCAGGATGATTGGAAAACAGCTACTTGGCGAAGTGAATGGAAGAGATTCATATTTGGACCCATTACAAAGAAAGGAAACAAACAAACAAAAAAACAAAGAAAGGAAACACCATAGCATCCTCCAATTATAGAGCAATATCATTAATATCACATGCAAGCAAAATTTGACTGAAGTTCATCCAACAATAGTTTTAACAGTACATTGACAAGGAGCTGCCAGAAGTTCAGGCCCGATTCATAGGAGGTTATGAAGCATGGGATATATCATCGCTAATGTCAGAGGGATCTTGGCTCAAAGCAAATAATACCACAAAAATGTTTATTTGTGTTTCATTGACTATGCAAATGCATTTGACTATGTGAATCATAACAAACTATGAGAAGAATAGGAATAGGAATTCTAGAACACTTCGTTATGGCCATGAGGACCTTGCACATAGATAAAGAGGCAGTTAAGCAAACAGTATAAGGGAATACTGCATGGCTTAAAATCAGCACTGCTGATGAAGATCAAGGATTCTAACCTTCAGTAAAGATTGCAGCTCAACATAAAGAAAACCCAAATCCTCACAACTGGACTAATAGATAACATCATGATAAATGGTGAAAAGATCGAAGTTGTCAACGATTCATCTTGCTTGGATCCTCAGTCAAGTCTCATGGAAGCAGTATTCAAGAGAGAAAACTAACATTACATTGAGTAAATCTGCTATGCAAGATCTTGTTAGAGTGTTCAAAAGCATGGAGGTTTGAGGACTAAGGTGTGCCTGGCCCAAGCCGTGGCATTTTCAATTGCCTCATATGCATATGAAAGTTGGACAGTGAATCAGGAAGACTGAAGAAGAATCAATACATTTGAATTATGATGCTAGTGAAGAATACTGAAAGCACCACAGATTGCCAAAAGAAACGAACTTGTCTTCAAAAAGTACAGTTAAAGTGCTCCTTTGAGGCAAGAATGGTGAGACTTTGTCTTACATGCTTTGGACACGTTATCAGGAGAGACCAGTCCCTGGAAAAGCACTTAATGCCTGGTAAAGTAGACAAGCATGGAAAAAGAGAAAGGCCTTCAACGAGATGGATTTACACATTAGTTGCAACAATAGGCTCACGCCTAGGATTAATTGTGAGGTTGGAAAAGAACCAGGTAGTGTTTAGTTATGTTGTGCAGTCTCTATGGCTTAGAACCCAATCAATGACACATAATAATCTGAAGAAATGATGGCAGGAATGTCACCAAAAACCTGTATACTAACATTCATTAAAGCACTTTGTACAGAAACCAATAGATGGAAAGAATCAAAATGTATACAGCGGGTAAAAGAATGAGCAAATTGTGATGTATACACAGAGTAGATATATATAGTTTTATATTATACAACTATAAAAAGAAATCCTATCATTAAAATATCAACACATCATCTTCTTTTGAATTTTGGGCACAATGCATAATAATGAATAGGAGAGATTAAACGTAAACATGGAATGAAAAACCACTGTCCTGAGTCAAGATGATTCAACTCATAGTAATCCTACAGGACACGAGTACAACTGCCCCATAATTTTCAAAGTTGTATCTTTTTTTTTTTTCATTGGCATAAATATATTTAAAAGAGGTGTGCAATAATCCCTACAATCAATTGTAGAACATTTTTTCTTCTTGTATCCTTTGTTATTAGTAATCTAGTTAACTGTAGAGATTTACCTATCCTAGATTTCTTTTTTTTTTTTTTTTT